AAAAGATATATTGCTATTAAATTCCCTCAAAAAATTGCCCTTCACTCTGAGCACACTTATCTCATCATTCCTGCCATTTTCTGAAGAGGTTCTGGAAGTCCTCCTTTGTGAGTGTCCTTAGCTGTGCTACACTGGCTGCCTTCATGTTCGGAATCCATTTAAAGCATCTACCTTTTCAGTTGGACTACTGAAGTCACACAGAACCAGATCCAGTGAATAAGGTGGATGAGAAGGCACTGTGATGTTTCTATGCATCTGCTTTTCTATTTAATGAAACTTGGCAGCAGCATTACCACCTCTCTATCTCTGTATCAATCTATCTTTTTCATCACAACATGTAAAGACATTCATGAAAGAAGATCTTCCGAACTGCTTTAGAAAGTGACAAGAATGATGGAATAAGTGTGTTTAAAACTAGGGGAAGTCTTTTGAGAGGGATTAATGGTGATTTATATTTTACTCTGATAATTTTTAAACATTTAAACATTCACCATATGTTTTGTTCAATTCCTTGTATATCTTAAAATATTGTACATACATATTTTAAAGAATATATGTGGTGTCTGTCCAATTAAAGCAAACTAATCTGGATTATGAAATATATATATGATAATCACATATTGGTTATATACTCATTATATATCCATATATATGACTATATTTTCTATTTAAACTAAACTTATCCACTGGATTATTTCCAGAGCATTTTGTAACGATAGTTGTTTCAGCTTGATTAAATGTCATCATATAACTGTAAGTGAGATTTCAGAAAAATTTAGTTAACATAACCTGTACTATCTTACTTCTAAATATTCCACTTTCAAGGCACAGATTTCTTTATCATAAACACTGCAACTCCATAATTTTATCTGCATTAAGCTTACATCTCTGTTATAAACATCTGGTAAACATCATCTTGCCAAATTGACTGAGACCACTTTCAAGCTGATTGCATGTAACACCACCAAGAAAGAAAGAATATGCTTCTACTTCCCACCATCTAAATCTGTAAAATCAGCTCTCTATGGTTACAGAGCACACCAGCCTTGACAAAACTTCTCAGCTGAACTTCATTGTTCACTTTTGCCATCACAGTGGCTGTCAGCTTGGATCATCTTTGGAGGAAGAAGTGAGAAAAATAGAAAATGCTCCTTGGCAAGAAGCAGCAGGACAGGAGTGAGAGAAGACAATGAAATCCCGACATGTCGATTTATACCTGTGCTTGTTTTTGTTCTGAGGCTGACAGTGGAAAAGCAACACAATGAGAGACCCTCTTGTGGATAATTGGAAAAATGTTCTAAAATGATTTGTTCAACTTGATCCTGAACACAGTTGTTAAATCCTCATTTTACAGATTACTTTACAATTCCCCCACCTCTGAAGCTATAGAGGACTCCTTAGCTTACATGATGAAGCAGAATAATTCTCATTGTTTCTGCTTCAACAGACAATCTTTTTTGTTTTACCTTTTACCTTACTTATAGAATAAAATCTTTCATTTATTCCAAAAAATTTTATATGAGCTTTTTAAAATGATTTTCAATAGTGACATTTTTGCTCTACCATTCCATGGTAAACAAACAAAAAATAGTAGTAGTTAATTTCTTTTGAAGATATTTTAGTGTTGCCTTTTCCTCCCCATGTTAAATAAACAATAAAACAGTTGAAGAGGGAACAAAAATTGCAAAACCCAGTAACAAGTAGAAGATAATAAGACTCCATTTCAAACAAGTTAGGAGTCGTGACTCTGACAGAAGTACCAGTATGTCAACATTTATATGTGAAAACCAGAACTGCTCTTGCACACACAGGTACCTTTTCATGATGACACAGGCAAATCAAGATTTTTGATAACACCTCTTTTGGAATTGGGCCCTCCATATTTTATCCCAGTCTCAGAGATTCAAGAGACCTCATTCATTTCCATTTTCCAACTTCAGCTAGTCACTACACTAAGATACTATGCCAATCTGACAGCTGTCGAGAACATGGGAAAGGTGGGTGGATTTCAGGAGCATGTCTGGGACTGGATGTGTTTTTGGCATGAAAGAGGCAGATAACCTCACTGTTGACAAAGGCAACAGAACAAAAGTGAAATTAAAGGCAGGTTATTAGGATAAATTACTGCAAGAATAAAGCTGTAAGACAAAACAGTGCACTGCAAATCCAAGTTATGAGTAAACAGAGAAATCTCAAAGCTAAGGTTGAGGAAAGAGAAAAGAAAAGACAACCACAGTGGTGGTGGGAGGACTGTGCTCTATGTACACTGCCTACACACGTGACAGGGTGGTCATTGAAACATCCAACTCTATCCCTTCATTTTGCTCTTTGCTAGCTGAATATGACTTTATTTCCCTCAGCTAAAGGAAAAACCACTAATAATTTCAGGAAACTCCAAGGCTGACATTTGGAAAGTCAGATTTTCTTTAATTTGCTGATAACTTTGTTCTAAAATGGGATTTAAAATAATATTCAGAGATATTTTAATTGACTTCTATTTCTGTTACTATACCTAAGATTAAGGATAATTTCCATACCACAAAACGGAGAAATAGAGGCCCCAAATGTCCTACAAAACATATTACAAAATTCTTAGCATAAAATGCCCAAATCTTTCTGTTAACAATCTGTTAACTTCTTGAGAAAAATGCTGCTTTGGATCTATTTTTAAGTCATTAAAGTCTATCAGTTTCCTTCCATGCAGGCCTCACTTTCTGTGGCAGCTTCATTGAAAGGAAAATGAAACTCACATGAACTGAATCTTCTTCAAAACATTCTCATGTTAATATTCTAAAATATTTCAAATTAATATCAAAAAAATAATCAGGAACCCATTGTTTTTCCCTTTCCTGGTAAACATAGGAGATTTACAACAATAATTTTGTTAGAAACTTTACTATATTATGTACCTTAGTATCACTAATAGTTTGCCACACACTTAACTGTCTGAACAACACAATTTTACGTCCTATATCTCTGCAGGTCAGAACATGAGTTTCACTAGGCTAAAATCAAGATGTTGGCAAAATTAAGGCTCTTAATTCTGTTCCTATCTGAAGGTGGCAGAGGAGAATGTTTCCTTTCATTCAAGTTGTGGGCAGATTTCAGTTCCTTGCAGTTGTAGGACTTAGGCCTCCACTTTCTTGCTCTCTGCTGACAGCCATCCTCAGCTTCTACAAGCTGGCCACAGTCCTTGGTTTATGGCCCCACTTCCTCCATCTTTAAAGCTGGTGACAAAGTGAGTCTCATATTTCAAATGTCATCTCCATCAACTCCTGTTGTGTCTCCCTGACCCATTCTCTCTGCCTTCCTTTTCTACTTCTAAGAAGTCATATCATCGTACTGCTCCCACCTGGATATTCCAGGATAATCTCCATATTTTAAAATCCTCAGTCACATCTGCAAAGTCCCTTTGATCATACCATGTAACATATTTAAGGATTCTGTGGATTAGGACCTAAGCATCTTTGAGGAAATCATTATTCTGCCTTCCACATCATGAGAATATTTTGTATCACTAAAGCCATAAAAATAAATAAACACTGAAAATAAAAATTACTTGTTTACATATTTCAACATTTTCAAAATGCAAATTTTGGTTCATTATTAAAATGTTCTACTTTTCGAATTGTAAAAATAACCACTGTTTGACATTAGAAAGATGGAAATTTACTAGATGAATTCCAAAAAATGCCTTGCTATATTTGGTGAATTACGCTTAAATCCAAGTGTGATGATTTAGTAAGTGCACTAGAGTGCTTGCTGATCTGCAGTCACCTGATGAAGCACTGATGGTGAACTTAAACCACCTGTCAAAATGAAGTGAATTAATTTCTTAAATAGTTTATTAAATGTAAACTGAAGGATTGAAAAATAATGAGAACTATCCATTTGTATCCCTTTTAGGGATAACATTGCTAATATTTTAAATGAGTAAAAATGAAATAAAAAATAAAAAGTAGTTTTAAATGTTCATTTTTTTCAAAAAAGTTTTTGTTTTTAAAAAGAAATAATAATTAAGATAGCAATAATTTATATAACAAACAATTACACAAATGTCTTTTATAAAATAAATGTATTTAAATATAAATATTTAAGGTGCATATCCTAAAATTTTACTTATCAACATGAGTCATCCAAAAGGTTAAAAATTATTATGCTGACAAGTTCATACTAAATATATTTGACTGCTACATTGCATACTGAAACTGTCTAAAAGAAATGCTTATCAATTAACCAGATATCATTACTTCTTTAAAATTTATATATAAATTGGTACATTTTAGGTATACAATACATTTACATTTATCACTGGGTGTTTGTACCTGACCATGATGTATCCCAGTTCTTCTTTTTTCCCCCATTATCTATATGCCTTCACCCCCACCAGCCTTCCCTTTACTTTTGCAAGAGTCAGATCTAGATTTGTTGAGATTTCAATTAGCCACTCAAAAATTTCAGAACAGAATAGTTTACTAAGGAGCTCAAAATCTTCCTATTTGGGAAAAATTAGGAAAATGTTTTTTAAATGCAACTTTTTCTACATTGTTAAGTTCAAGCATTGAATTTTAAAAACCATCAGAACATGAGATATCATTTATCCCTCTTAAGTGGGTAGGAGGATTTATTTGCTGTTACATTTAATACATGTTATTTTTAATGCACAGCTCTTCATTTCTTGCTGTGAAACATGCAAATAAAATTTTTCTAAATGTGTTAGCAACAACTTAGGAATCTCCAGCTCTTTTGATTTTTCTCACAGTCATTGTGCAATGAAATTTTCTGCTGGTGACCAGAAAAACATAACACAAGCTACATTGTATATATTGTCAGAGAATGCATAATGAATAATAAATAATGCTCATAATTCTATTTTCTCTCCAGAAGAATTTTCTTTCCCTGCCAATTTATTTACTTATCTCGGTTTTATCTGTGTTTGTGTCTAGTAGATGCACACAGCATGTTTCCTTTACAAGTAGAACTGAATCAATGTCACTTACCACACTATCCCCTGAGCCCCAGAGCCAATAGGCTTTAGATTCTGGTAGCGCTTGAGAACTGTGAAGGTCGAGTCTCCCACTTCCACACTGTAGAACTGGTTGTCCACTTTGCTTTTGCTCATGTTGTAATGTTTGGCTATATATGACACATCCACTTGTTTATCGAATCCCTGGCCAAAAGAACAACAAAACCATGAGACAAGTGAGCCAGTGGAATGAAAACAGATGCAGAGAAGTCTGCTCTTTTAATGACCACTAATATGTAGCCATCTATAATCTAGTTCAGGGAGTTCATGCAGGAAATAATGTGTGTTGGCTCATGAAAGATTACCTGGAATAAAAGAACTTAAAAATACGAAGATTTTTTTAAATAGTAAAAGTATTTAAAATAGACTAAATTTAGGTCTAATTCACATAATGTTTTCTGAAGTCTTTCTTTGAAACCATTCATTTATAGGGCAAACACACTCTGAACATGTACTGGTCTCAAGAACCATACTAGATACTTGAAGATTCAAGTAAATAAGGTGGAGATGATCACTGATTATCCATTATGATTGTTATACAAGGATAGATAAAAAATTATATCTACCACACTTTCTCCAAAAAACCTAACATACAAACTAACATGGAATTTGAATTATTTTAGTTCAGTAAATTTGAATTAAATAGTGTTAGTTTCATTTGTCTTCATTAATACCAAAATTATTCCTCATTAAGTCTTGAAATACTTTAGTTCAAATTCACATTATTCTAAAATACTACTTTATTTTTTGTAATCTTATATTTTAAATATCTAGATCGTAGGGGCCAGGGATGTAGCTCAGTGGTTCTGCCACCTGCCTCGCAAGTGCAAAGACCCGAGTTCGATCTTCCGTACCAAAAAAAAGAAGTAGATGGTTACATTTTCTGTTTATCCTTAAGAGTTCATCTATCAATCATAGTAATTGAAAAATTCACTCCTGAATTTTGAATCATTATATATGTATAATATAAAGAGCCATTACCTATGATTATTATTTACCCATGAACACTCTTCTATTATACTTTATGACACAAACATTATGGATTCTATAGCAAGATGAACCCTCAAAGATTACCAACTAGCCCTTTCTTGTACCTCACACCGGTGGAATGCCTCCCTAATAGTTACTGCTTCTTGCTGATTTTCTTTGGAGTTTAAACAAACCCACATTTTCTGTGCATTCCTACACAATATCAGCGTTGAAAAATGAATAATCTTAGCCAGTAGTTCCCAATAGAGGTGGCATTAGCACACGGAGGGAATTTGAGAGGTTTGTAGCATGCTTGGAAACAATGCTGAAAAATATGATCTGCATTTATTTGGCTTATCCAACAAGGCACAATGTCCCGCAATGAATGGGACATTTCACACAATGAATAAATTCCCACACACCTCCAACTTTGGAATGTCCTGCCAAAGTTTTAATTAATGAAAACCTACCTATGGTGTTTTGAACCCAGAATCTACAGGATTTCATATGATTTTTAACATATACTAACAACTCTGAAAGTCTAATTCTCACATAATTTGAAAGAAGATGTTAACCTCTTTCAGATCTGAGCCTCTGGCTTGATCATAAAACCATTTTCCTTGGAAAGTTTAGTCATTTCATTACTAAATTAAAAATTGAAAGAAAAGTATCATCTAATTTCTGCTTGTATGACCTTGGAAAGGGACCATGACAATATCAGTAATGTAAATGAAGAGAATTCCATGGGACCATTTGGACACAACTGACAAAATCTACAAATCCAGCATGAGAATCTTGAACCCGCAAGTAGGCAGCAAGACAGGCAGAACTGAGAGTAGATAAACATAACTGGTACTGGTCTACAATTGGGTCAGATGTGGATGCAGCATTCACTACAAATGCACACAGGTCTCAAAGAATAAAGTAGATGATAAAGGGACGGACCTACACTGTTTGGACAGGAAGCTGAAAATTTAGGTAATTTGCATGCAAAAATAAGGGACCTGAAATCTGAATCACAGACTGTAGAACATAGAAATTAAGCAAAACTGTTAAAAATCTGAACATTGCAAGTTTTTCAAGGGCACAAGAGGGTTAGAACAGATAACGGGTTTGGACAACAGCAGAAAAGGGAACATTAATGTTTAAACAATCCTTGATTTCTACTCCGGTACGAGGAACTGCTCTCCACACCATTGTCCATTTCTATTCCAGACTGGTTGGCATGTAAAACCGTCTGATAAAAGGTCTGACCTTTTTCCTACGGAAGATAAAAATGTAACTGTAGCAACAGTATGAAATGCTTCTATTTGCCAAGGTTAACTTGGGATGACTGAAGCACTTAAGTTGTCATTTGTCCTGTTCTGATTCTGCTTTACACCCTTTAATATTCTCACCACCCACATAATCCTAAGCACACATGGGTCTCATAAATTTAAGTAATCCCTTTCCCCCACTTATTGGCTGTACTGGTGCAGAATGGCTCCCCTGAATGCATTGCCTGTGTATTCATCACATTTAATGGCCTTTATGTTCCTGACTCCTGACTTAATGGTATATTTTGGCACAACCAAGGACTTGATATGGCTTTTGGACTTAGTTATGGCTTTTGTAGCTATACTTTAAGTCTTCATATTGCATTTGAACCAAACTGCTGGCTTTCCTCTTCTAACATTAAAAGACACCAAGGGAGTTTAATGAAGTCGCCCATTTCTTTTTCAGGCATACCCTAAGAGATACTCAAATCTTTTTGACCCCCAAAAACCCCTGATGATATACATATTAGGTACAGATAATTGATTTGGCACTGGAGATATAAGAAAGATAAGATAAGGTCCCAGCCTGGTTTGGAGAATTAAGTAGTTAAGACACAGATGATATACTCTATAGTAGAATGAATAAAAGATGCAGCAAACAAACAGAAAGTGAGCAATCAACTACTTGCATTCATCCATTATTATTAATTCATTCAACTAATACATGCCAAGTCATCAGTATAAAACTGGTATTATTTGAAGGAGAGATTTGACTTGTGTTTGCTCAGAGTAACAATATCCCTGGGCCTCTTTTCTCACTGGTTCTTAGATGTGAGTGTACATCCGGACTGCCTGGGGAGGTTAATAAAATACAAATCCTGGGCAGGCACAACACCCTGGAGATCTGGATTCAAGCATCAATAGAGGTCCTGAGAATCTGCAGGTTATTAGGAAGTCCAGCTGATTTGAAGATATATCTGCCACTTAGAAATACTACATTAGAACAATCATTCTCTAAGTGTGTTCCCTGAAACATCAACAATAGCATCTCTGGAACTTGTCAGAAATGTAAATACTCATCCTTTTCCCACACCTATTGAGTCAGGAACTCTGGGGATGGAATCCAACAATCCATGTTTTAATCAGCCCTCTAAGTACTGCTACATGCTGGGAGCCTCACATGGGAGTGGAGCGATGGGCTGAAGACAGAAACAAATGGAACAGCTTTGCCTGAGATACTCAGAGTGAAACTCTTACTATGAAGCAGAAGTAACATTTCTGTATCTGCACTGGAACACATACCTAGTGGCTCAATGAACTGCTAAATTCTGATGCTCATGGCACATGCAAACTGCAAACCAGAGTCCAAGATAGAGCAAGGACTAACTATAATACTTCACGTTCAACTATATTAACTACCCCCAAATCCAGGCTGACAAAGTTTCTATTCAGTCATGTCTGCACCTGGCCACCTGCTGTAATAAAGCACATAATTTTCTCTTAGTAATTGCTGACACTACTAAAAAGGGTCCAGTAATTTTTCCAGTGTGTACTTGAAAGATTTTTCGTATAATAGAAATGCTATATATGGACTTAGTGACAGCTGGTACAATGATTAAAACCAAGGAGTAGCACACCTGACTAGCACATAAAGTCCTGAATGTGATCCCAACACTGGAAAAAACAAAGGCAGAACTTATCCACACATTTTAACAGTAAGAATATTTTCACTCACAAAGAGACAATAAGAGCTATTTACTTGAAATGACTGATTGCCTGGCACATTTTCTAAAATAAAATTACTCAGGGTTCACTTATATCCACTACAGAGCATATGATTTCTCACAATAAAATTGAAAAATCATCATTATAAGGTTTATGACTCTCTCTCTCTCTCTCTCTCTCTCACACACACACACACACACACACACACACACAAACATAGGGTTTCCTTTCAAGTATCTTTATACATAGTTTGAAATTAAACTCTGGATAAAACCTAGCCATTACAGAATGCATTCTTGAATGTATTGTAGATCATTGGTAAAGTCTATTTTAACTATTCAAGTGGTAATACATGGAAATAATAGCATTGGAAATTTTCTTGGATGGATGTCTCAACTCAAAATTCAATGGCAAGTACACTGCGTTAACAGCTTCCCTTAGATCCCATCTGTGCCCCAACCTCACAGATTCAAATCGAGATTTGAAAAGTGCAGACCACATTTCATACCATGTACTTTATTCTTTGGCTTCCATGCAGTTTTCCTTGTCATGACTGTAAAGTTCAAGCAAAAACTTTACATAATGTGCCCGTGAACATAAGCCATTTATAACACAATGGAAAATACTATCAATGCTGAAAATAACTTCTCTCTGCTTATGTTTTAGTATTCACTGGATTCAGGTGATAGGACAAGATTCTGAAGTTTTAACATGGATTAGAACTATCAAGGGAGGGGGGGTTAAAACAAATTTGTGAGCCTCACTGTAAAGTTCATGATTCACTGGGATTAGAGTAATGGACCATAATTTGTATTTCTAACAAAGGTCACATAGTTTTTTTCTAATTTATATTTTTGTTAGTGCATGTTTGCAGAACATAATTATTATATTCAACATGGGGAGTTGTTACCGTACATAACACATCTTCATTCTTTTTATTTCCCCTTCTCTTCCTTCACCCTCCCTCTATCTCTTGGTCCCTTTTCTTTTTGCAAAGATTCATCTCCCCTTTCCTATTATCTATCTTTTATTTTGGCCTTTAATTCATATATATTTGAGCTTTTGTGTCTGATTTATTTTACTTAACATTATGATTTCAAGGTATATCCATTTTCCTACAAATGACTCCAGTTTATCTTTCTTTATGGTAGAGTAGCACTCCACTCTTTATAAATACCACTTTCTTTCTCCTTT